TCTCATGCTCTTCCTCCCTACTCTATTTTGAGTCAACCCCCGCCCCCTTATATCAGAGAAGACATTCGGCATTTGTTTCATTACTCAGCACTAAAAAATAACAAGATCATGGCATTTGCAGGGAAATGGATGGCATTAGAGCAGATTATGCTAAGTGAAGTTAGCCAATCCCTAAAAAACAAATGTTTTGTACCTGATCTTAAGAGAAAAAAACTTTAGCTTTTCACCTTTGCATGTTAGCTAGAGGCTCTTCATAGGTGGCCTTTATTATGTTGAGTACATTCTTTCTATACCTGCTGAGAGCCACATCTGAGTAGGAATGGCCCCTGGCATTTTGCCAGAAGTAATGGTTGAGAGGCAAGCCTTTAAGATGATGATATTAAGTTAAGCTGTCTATAATTGCCGTGACTGGATGATGCTGGATTGAAACAGGCTGTGTATTCAATTGTATATTAGACCTTTACTATCCGCCTCAGTCCCCCCACTACTTTGGAGTTCCCCTTGAGTTCTCCCCTTGGTTCCGAGAGTGAGTGCACGCGCAGCCCGGTGGTGTTCCGGGAGAGTTCCGGTTGGTGTGTGGTGTGTGCCGGAGAGGAGCCACATGGGTGGCGCTGGGGAGAGTTCCCGGGGCGTGTGTGTGGAGTGCTGTGGGAGTTCAGAAATAAAGCTTGTTCCTGCTTGAGTGGCTCGTGATTTGTGCCCAGCCAGACTGTGGCATATACCCAATTTGTGAAAGTTTTACCATGAAATAATGTTGAGATTTGTTAAATGCTTTTTCTTGCATCTATTGAAGGACCATACAGGTTTTATCCTCCTTGCTGTTAATATGGTAATTCACATTTATTGATTTGCATAGTTGAACCATTCTTGCATCCCAGGAATAAATCCCATTCCGTCAAAGTATAAGATCCTTTCAGAGGACTAATGGACTTAGTTTGACAGTATGATTTTGTTGTTGTTGTTATCTTGTATTATTTTTGGTTTGGTTTTTTGTTTGTTTGGTTGGTTGGTTGGTTGGTTGGTTTGATTTTGGGGTTTTTTGTTACCAATGATTAAACCCAGGGGCTCTCAAAACCTGAGCCACATCCCAAGCCCTTTTTCATTTTATTTTATTTTTATTTTCTCTAAGTTGCTTATGGCCTCAGTAAGTTGCTGAGGCTGGCTTTGAACTTGCAGTCCTCCAGCCTCAGCCTCCAGAGCTGCTGGATTTACAGGTATGCACCACTGCACCTGGCCATGATTTCTACTTCTCCTTGGTTGAATCTGCAAACAAAGCTCTCTGTTGAATTTTTCAGTTCAGACATTATACTGTTTTACTCCTGAATTTCTATCTGTTTTTTTTTTTTTAATGGTTTCTAGCTCTTTGTTAAACTTCTGATTTTATATATGTAGTGTTTTCTTGGTTTCAGTTAGTTGTTTATCTGTGTTTTCTTCTAAGTCACTGAGATTCTTTAATATGATTATGTTTATTTTTTTAAATACTACTGAGGATTGAACCCAGGGCCTTGCACATGCTAGGCAAACTCTCTACCACTGAGCAACATCCCAGTACAATTATTTTGAATTCTTTGTCAGGTAATTTGTAGATCTCCACTTTGGGGGTCAGCCCAAAGATTTCTTATGGAGCTTCCTTTGGTGTTAGATTTCCTTGATTTTTTTTTGTGTACCTCCTTTGCATTTCAAGAAGCAGTCACCTTCTTCGGTGTTTACTGACTGACTTTGAGAGAGAAAGGCCTTTACCAATGACCCTAAGTAGGTATTCTGAGGGTCTTTCACAGTTTTTCCACGGCTATGTTTGCTCCACTCTTCTTGTTCCCTCTTAGGGAGAAGACATAAAACCATGTGCCTACTCTTTATCTTATACATCCAGGTATGGTGCTGAGAATCTGTTTAGTTTCCCTTGGGTGGTACCCTAAATTGTTCAAGGTTGTATACCTTTTTTCCAAACCAGCAGTCAAGCTAAGTGCTACACTTTGCACCTGCTGTTGAGATCCATGGACTCTCTGAGAGTTCATTCAGGCCATGCATGTACGTGGGACATTATCTACAGAGGTACTAAGGGCATATGTTAGCTACCTGGGGAGCCCTCAGGTGAGTTGTTCGGTGGGGCTTGTAGGCAAACCTCTAGAGCCGAATAGCAGGATCTGTGACTACCTTTGAGCACTGCATGTACTCCCTCCCCTTCCCCAGGCAATTTTGCCATGCCAATCCCCTCCATAAAGTGTACTGGATGGGGTGAGACAGAAGTGAGCCTCCTAGGAAGCACCCTTCAAGGTTAAGGAAGTGTGGCACTCACTTTGTTCTCACTTTCTCCCATTAGAGAAATCACAGGCCAAGGGGGCCTCTCCCATTCAGTGCATCTGCTCTCATATTCTTTGCTCCAACAGGGTGCTGGAATTTCAGAGAGACTCTTAGCTCCCACAGATGTATTCTTATCTGTAGGAGTTGCTAAAAATTGGTGAGATTTTGGCGGGGGCGTGGGGGGGGGTAGATGTAAGGGATGGAACCTCCTATTCTGCCATCTGGCTTATCTTGCTGATGTCATTCCAAAAAGAGTTGTGCCCCCCACTTTTTTTAATCATGACTTTTTAAATTAGAGCATTATAGTTATATGTAGTAGTTGGGTTCATTTTGACAAAATCATACATGAATGGAATTTGATTTCAATCCATATTCTCCCACATTTCCTTCTCCTCCTCCCTCCCCTTATTCTCCTTCCTCTGTTCTACTGATCTTCATTTTGCTCATTTATTTATTCATTTGTGATTGGTACTTTCTACATATACATAAAGGTAAAATTCCCTTTGATATTCACATATGATTATAATGTGACTTTGTTAAATTCATTCCAAATTTTCTTCCCTTTCCCTTCTCTCCTCTCCCTTCATTCTTGATCTCCTCTACTGATCTTCCCTGATCTCCCAACACCTTCTTTTCTTTATTTTGTTCTAGCTTCCACATATGAGAGAAAATATCCAACCCTTGGTTTTCTGACTTATTTCACTTAGCCTTATGTTCTCCATTTCCATCCATTTACCAGCAAATGCCATAATTTCATTCTTATTTATGACTGAGTAAAATGCCATTGTGTGTGTGTGTGTGTATCACATTTTCTTGATCTATTCATCTATTGACAGGCATCTAAGCTGATTCCATAATTTGGCTATTGTGAATTATGCTGCTATAAACATTGAAGTGGCTATATTGCTATAGTATGCTGATTTTAGTTCTTTGGGGTAAATACCAAGGAATGGGTTGTATGGTAGTTCAACTTCTAGTTTTTTGAGGAATCTCCATACCACTTTCCAGAGTGGTTGTACTAATTTGCAGTCCCAGCAACAGAGTATGGGTGTACCATTTCCCCCATAACCTTGCCAGTATTTAATATTTGTATTCTTAATAATTATCATTCTGACTAGAGTGAGATGAAATCTTAGCATTGTTTGATTTGCATTTCCCTGATTGCTAGAGAGATTTAACATTTTTCCACATATTTGTTAACCATTTGTATTTCTTCTTTTAAGAAATGTCTGTTTAGTTCTTTTGCCCATTTATTGATTGAATTATTTGGTTTATTTGGTGTTAAGGTTTTTGAGTTCTTTGTATATTCTGGATATTAACCTCTGTCAGAAGAGCAAAGAATTCCTCCTCTTTTGTAGGCTCTGTTCTTTTAATTTGATGGCATCCTATATATTGATTCTTGGGTTTTACTCCTTAAGCTTTTGGGGTCTTGTTGAAGAAATCAGTGTCTGCACCTAAAGGACGGTTATTCTTAACCCAATCCAATGTTTTTCCTCTAATAGAAAGTTCCCAAAGCCTATGATTCTGGGTTCTAAATTGATCAGATTTCTGAGCTCCAATTCAATATCCTTTATGGATACAGCCAACAGGAATGTCTTAGTCCATTTTTTGGACTAAGGCATCACTAAGGCTACTGGGGAAGATGTACATAAAATATGGTTTTAAAGAGTTAACATTACCCCCTGGGCCTCTTGAACACTAACCTACAAATATATCATAGAACCATCTTCAGCAATCCAAACCCAACAAACATCTCCAAACACATCATTGCAGGTAGATATAAGAGGCTTAACAAAGCTAAACAACAAATAAAGCTAAGCAGCTCACATGCCCTGGGTCACGTCTCCTTGAACACTCCTTGCCCTAGGACCTTTATAACACTTCCCATATAATCCAACAAGCATCAGAAGTTTATTGAGAACTTATGGTATAAGAATTGGACTCTGTATATCCTCCTAATGAAAATATGACTACAGTATTTATTTTCATAAGTTAAGAGAAGTATTTTCATAGATTTATATATCATTTTGACTTAGACCCAGTAGTAGAGAATTTCCAGAATTATTTGATAAAAACAAACCAAGACTATGAAAAGAGATGTACAAAGAAATAATAAATGCTAAAGGAGATGGAAATGCTAATTACCCTGATTTGATGATTACTTATTATATACATGTATCAAATTATTATCCTGTGTCCAATAAATATGTATGATTATTGTATGTCAATTAAAAATGTAAAAAAAGATCTATGTTACTAAAAAACAATAAGATTTCTTTTAGTTTCAAAAAAAAAATGAATTGGGCTCTGAACTTTCTGGAAGAATATCACAAAGTATAAAATTTGACTTGTGCTGTCAAAGAGCCTCTGGAATCTACAGCAATGGCAAGACATGAATCTATGAAAATGATGTCAGGAATCAAATGAATCACAGGGATGACCTTTGAAGTCTCTTCCTGCTCTAAATGTCTAGCATCTAACAAGGAACTATCCCATTTATTTATCCTATTTCTTGATAAAGTTATGAAAGCTAACATTTAATAGTAATTGTATTTCTTACTTTCTTCATTTTTTTCCTCAATATTAGTCACCTTTCACTACACAAACACACACACCAAAAAACCAAAAACTCAAAATTTAGTGACTTAAAACAACCTTTAAATTTTTTCTTATTTCTTCATGATTTTCTGTATCAGCAATCTGGACTGTTTTCTTGCACAGCTCCTCTTCTGGTCTCTCCTGGGGTCACTCATACAGATGCAGGCCTCTGGAGACTTGACTAAGACTAGACAACCTAAGATGGTCCAAAATAGCCTCACTTCCATGTTCACAGGTTGATCTGACTGACAGCTGGTAGGTGCAGGAGGCCTCAGCCAGAATGGCTCATCTGTGCTCCATGTGGCCTCACATCACCTGGTAAACTAGATCAGGCTTCACAGTACATGGAAGGACAGCACTCCAGAAGGCAACAGCGGAAGCCACAAGACCTCTGAAGAATTAGGCTCCAAAGTTGTACAACTTCCGTTGATTTCTGTGGATAAAAACAAATCACAAAGGGTATACAGGTTTTAGGGATAAGACATTGGATTTTATCTCTTCATTCAAAGAATAACAAAGGCCAGTAAAACTGGACTTAAATTGTTTGTAGCTTATTCTGATATTATCTGCTCATTTATCGCCACAGCCCATTGGTCACCAATACTAAAGCATTCCTCCTGTCCATCACTGAAAATTCACCCTCAGTAAAACAAGATGTTCCAACTATGATCACAGAATGCAATTAAACGTGGTGAAAACATTTTTGGAAAACTACCTTCTGCTTTCCCATGCATGAAGAAAAAATATAAATATAGTCCACTTCCTCATACTTCATTTCTTATACCACATTTGACCCAATACCTTCACAATGTCTATCAAAGCATTTCAAACAAACCCTCAGGCCACTTTTCCTGGCAATTCTGAAACCAAAGTCCAGATAGCTTTGGTTATAACATGCCAAAGCACGACTGTCAGTTGAATAAGGTAAACTAAGAATGATACATTAAGAAAATCCAGCTGGGATTCATCACTCCTGAACAAAGCTAAATGTGTTTCAGGTCTCAAAGCCAAGTAATTTTTTATAGTTATGCTAGAACATCATATTACAAGTACAACACCTGCAGCCCTGTCATGGGGACTCTCCAATTATTTACCATATTTCTTGGGACCTTATCACTTTAAAGCCCCCCCCACAAAATATTTGCAGTCAGTAATCCAAGTAGTGAGCATTATATGAGGTTGCTCAAAAGTTCACAGATCTGCAAAAACTCATAAATCAAAATTGACAAGTAAGTAGATAAGTCACGCATATGATAAAAATATTGCCATCGAATCCTGCAACTCAGAGGCTGAAAGACACTTGATGCTCCCTTGATAAGACAGAACCTTGCTTGACATGCAAGACCATGAGTAGCACAGGCACTCACGTTACCATCTTTGCACATCAGACTGAGTTGACCTTGTCAAACATGAGACCCTCCCAGTGACATCTTGCCCAAAACACCCCTTGAGAAGGTCCATGGAAGAAAAAATAAGCTCTAACCTAGGCCAGTGGAAATTTACCACTTCCTCAAAATTTACCCAGATCATCACTTAGGCAACTTCTCTTTCTAGTGTTTGGAATTTTTTTTCATTCCACTGATTGAGGAGCATCTCCTTTGAGGGTTGACATGAAAAGAAAAAGAAAAAACTAGTCCTGCCTTCCAGGAAGAAGAAGTTAGGCTGTGACTGACAGTGAACTTGGCATAGTCACGTAGGTTTTTTTTATTTAATACACAACAACCCCCTGTCATATGGGTATTATTGTCCCTATTTTAAATTATGGGGAAGTGAGGCTTCAGTTAGTAAGCAACAAAACCAAGAATCCAATTCAGGGAAGAGCAGAAGGAAAACAACAGGGCTGAGAGGAGAAAACAAAACACTGAAGGCAAAGCACTCTCAAAACAATAAAGAACTTTGCAAACACTGGTGATGGTAATGATGGTCAGTATGAGGCACAAATAGGACCAATACGTGGAGAATTATGCAGCTGCCTGATAAAGATGAGAAACTGGAACCTGGAGTGGAGAATTGCCAAGAGAGCAAAAAATAAAGAAAGGGCCCCAGGACAGATCCCAGGTGAGCTCAGGATAGGAGAGGAGGAAATGCAAGTCAGAGGCCCAAGGAGAACCCGAGCGTCCAGTAGCCAGGAAGCCAAGAATGTCAAGCTTTAAGAGAGTCAAATGCAGGGCTGGAGTGGCATGCGGCCCAGAAAATGCCACTGGGTATTGCGCAGGAGGCCCCTGGAGACCAACAAGAGAAACAGAGGGTAGATGAGAGAGGCAGGGGGTTGGGGGGGGGGTGGTCAGGACGTAAGCATGTGTAGATTCCCCTTTTAGTGTCTCAGGAAAGAGTGACGGAACTAGAATGTACTGATACTGTGCTTCATGTGGCCTCACATCACCTGGTAAACTAGATCAGGAGATACTAAGATCATGAGATACTAAGATCAAAAGAAGGAATGGAAGATACTAAGATCAAATAGGAAGACATTAAAATCAAACATCCAGCGGGTGGGGGTTGGTATAAAGACTGGGTACCATTCCCAACTCTTTGCCTGTGTAGCTTTAGGATTGTTTTTGTAGAAGGAAATTTCCATCATCGTTGCCACACTTAATTAGAAAGCATTCTTATTATTTGGTCCTAGCAGGTTCTACTAATTTTTCCTGATCAATGTCTCTTAGATTCATCTTCCTTTTTGTGCCACAACATCTAGAGGCAGGCCTCTCTCCTGGAAGTTTACACCACCCTGCTAACAAGCCTACCATCCCTTTCTTCAACTTGAATCTTAACCAGATTAACCTGTCATTGAAACCTAATTTTCAAACATGACAAGTATTGTAAGGTAAAAATACCTCAATATATGTTGGTTCAAGTCAGAAGTCCCTGGCCAAAAACATAAGAAGTTCCATCAGGAGTGTTCATTCTTCAAAAACAGGCTTTTTTGTTTGTGTTTGTTTTTGTTTACCCTTCCTGTATGACAGAACAGTCCCAAGACTGTCCTTGGCCCTGACTGCACATTAGATTTATCTGGGAAGCTTTAAAAGTACTGAGGCCCAGACCATTTCCAGAGATTCTGATTCATTTGGTCCTCAACGGGGTTCAGTCATGGGGATATTTTAAAAGCTCCCTTGTCGATTCTTTCCTGTTGCTCTTTACTGCTTTATGGGACACTCGTAAACTCTGCTCCAAGCCTTTGCTCAGTAAAGCATTCCTATGCCCAGGGCACCTTACCTCTTCCTTTCCATGAATCTAAATGTCACAATTCCAAAGGCTTAATACAGCCTGTCTTATTTTGAGGAAGTTTTCCCAGAACACCCCACTTAGCAGTGATCTACCTCATCGCAGGTTCTGATAACACAGATGGCACAGCAAAATCCAGCCTTGAATTCAACAAACATGTGCCTTCCTGGAGTTTATAGGCATGGTGGGATATGGGATAGGGTGTTGGTGATGCACAAAGCAAAGAGAACCACTCGTGGAAGGGCAGGGTGGCAGGAGATCTCAGGAGTCAGGAAGCTCACAGAGGTTTGGGTTTGACCTTCCTATGACTTATAGGAAGGTCAGAGAAACTCATATTAACAGCAAAAAAATCAGATCCTATGGGCCTCAAAACCTCTTCAGCCCTGGAGCTCCATTCCAATGAATTCCTACATAAACAGCAGGTGGATCCCCTCCTCACTTTCCCAGTCCTTAGTTATCCCTTGGGGATGTCCCATAACTAGAGCTTTGACACAGTTTGAAAATTCTTGTCACAGGCCATCAGGGAATCCTCAAAGGCAAAGCATGGGTTTTTCTATGATTATTTCATGTGAACAAATCTCATCTCCCCAACTGTTTTACAAACACTTAAAGGCAGAAACCTGCCTGTTATGCCTTCACATCCCCTGGAGCACCTCGTCATCATTCTGGGCCTCACACATAATAAAGAATTCACACACAACCTTGAGCAAAGGAGTCTATCCAGCCAGAAGGCACAGAGAACAGAATTTTCAGTTATTAATCATCTCAAGATGAATTCTGACATCTAAGTGGTACAAGAGGAATAGAAGTCAAGAGTCTTCCAAGAACTTGAAAATGCAACTGCCCTTGTGAAGTCAGGTTGGTAAAATTCATGTACAATAGTTGAGGTTAGCTGTCATCTAAATGAAAGAATCACCTCAAAGAGTTCCTGCAAGTGTGTGCTCAGAGTATGGGAACACATAAGATTCCTTTTAAGGTGACAAGACTGAAAAACTATTGAACTCAGCAAATAGGCAACTAATCAGTGGTTTTGAGGAATGCCTGGAGATATTCTGTATAACAGAAAGTGGGTGAGCACATGGAGAAAGGAAAACTGCAAGGTCAGAGGTTGTCGGTGGTCACCCATGACTTCCAGGGGGGGAGGGGAGACTGTTAGAAGACAGGAGCCACATTGTTAGAAGAGGAACCCTATGCAAGGCCAAGAGGGCTCTGTAGGTCTATCCAGGGCCTATGTCTGTCAAAGTTTGGTGCTGAAACACAGCAACTGATTCTGGACAATTTCAGGAAAAAATTGGGGGTGGGGAGTCAGGGGGCCTCAATCAGATGAAACAATATCAAAAGGCACAGAGGATTAACACGGGTACAAGAAGCCAGGCTTGGAACAGATGAGAACCTGAAGGTGGTTCATCTCAGAAGATACTTCAGAGCCTCACTTGGGTGCTTTCCCCAGGACAAATAAACTCCAACATGCCCCCCCCCCACTCAAGGCAAAGTTCTCAAAGACAATATGACAGCTGAGATACATGCATGCCTTTCAGTGGAAGGCTCTGTTAGGAGGATCTTTTTGCTTTAACATAGGAGAGTAGGAATTGAACCAATTAGTCCCAAAGCCTGATTTTGATAAGGGAGAGACAAACCCCAAAAAGGGAACTGGGGTGCAGTTGAGAAGTAGTAATAGTCACTGGGTTCTCACTATCCACAACACAGTCTGAGGACATGTCTTCATGCCTTTGAACCCATGCCCAGCTAGCCATGTTCCCAGAACTAAGGCAGAAGATTCACATGCCTGTAATCCCAGCAACTTGGGAAGCTGAGGCAGAGGATTAAGGATGTGGCTCAGTGATTAAGTGCCTCTGGGTTTAATGCCCATTACTCAAAAAAAAAAAAATTCTTCTCTGAGGACAGATACAAATTCTTATTTCCAAGGGAAGAAGGTCTCTTGGTGTGAGATTGATTGACAATTCTTAAGATTGTCAATCAATCATTTAGGGTTGTGTGTATCTCAAAAATTTATGTACTCAGAGGTTGGTCTTGGGATATGTAAGACTGAGTGCTAGGCTCTTACTGACAGCTGGGCTCCCCTAGCCCCACCTAGCAACATGTCCCCTCTAAACCACAGCTGTGCTGGGTCCCACAGAGCCATCCTGGAGCCAGACCCTTGTCATGAACTTGACTTTTTTTAAAAATTTTTTTAATATTTATTTTTTAGTT